ATGAAATATAAGGTATATATAAAGAACAAAATAGAAGCTCCTGTATGGTGTGATGCATGGCCAAAATTGCAGTGAAGAAAAGGCCAAAGTGTCAGGTACAGTGTATGAATTATACAGAATTTAACATCTAAAAACTGTTGTGAAAGGGTGGGTGTAGAAGAATTTTTTGAAAGAGAAATAAGAAGTTAAACTAGAGTTGTATGCCAGAAAAAAACAAACAAACAAACAAATAAACCGGGGTACTTGGGGAAGAGTGATAAATTTCTGACACTTCATATTTCTTGCTTTCCTCTCCTCTGAGGACAAGGGTCTGTGTTCATTGATGAGGGCTGTAACTTAGAGATTTTTATGTGAGTTTGGATAAAATAATCCTATATTTTTATTCAAATGATGAAAACTTTTTCATTTTGAGGCTTTAAAAAAACCATCTATTTTCATCTATGCCTGCTTTTAAGTCTCATGTTAAAACAACAGTATTAAAATCACTTATAGTATAACTGTACTCCAGAGTCAGGAAGTACTGAAGAACTTTAGGATCGCCATCTCTGGAAGTGCTTCGTTAATGAAAATGTCATATGGTGGGGACAGAACTGAAAGTCCTTTTACCTATCAGCATCATTACTTTTATATCTTTTTAATGGGGAGCTAAATGAAGACATCAGAATTTTTTCTTTTTAAAAGTACATGGAAAAAGAAATGAAGGAATTAACCAGTTGCCTCCAAGATGCTCACAGAAGCTAAAAGTCAGCAATATTTGAGAGAAAATGAAAATGCAAAAAATGAAAATGAAAATAAAAATGAAACTAAAAATGAAATTGAAAATGAAAATTCTGCTGTCACAGAAAGCAGTTCCCAAGAAATTGTATTTCTGGAGTAGGTAAAGCCAGGAATGCTGTGATCTGTCCAAATGCCACCTGGGAGAATAATGATGTCTTCACCAGAACTTACCCAAAGAACAACATCAAGATCTATTTTCCTGATCTACATCATAAACTTAAGTTCTGACATTGAAATTATGGACTTATTAGAAAACCAGGTTTGTCTGGTCTGCAAACAACAGCCTCGTTATCAATAAGCTTATTTAGTTGTTTTATCAAAAAACAGGATTTTCATTTTATATGACAAAAGACACAAGCAGTGAAAATTGTACTGTTCAAAAGCAAACATTAAGATACTGCTGTGGGATTTCTTTTTTTAAATGTAGATATTTTGAATTCTTCTATTTATAAAGTTTAAAATGAAATTTTCTTCTTTTATAAATTATTGTCTTATAATTTTAACAATGTTTTATAGAAACCTTAATCCAGGTTTATCAGTTACTGTAAACTGAAATTATGTAGTTCTCTTTTATGAAAAGTTAAAAAAATAGAAGATACTAATATTTTGTTACTGCCAGGTTTGGTTTTTTTTAAATTTTTTTTTTAAAAAAGTTCTTCTGTGTTACTAGGAAACAACTCAACATTGAAATCTTCCTAACAAAAATGACATAATTAAATTGGTGGCTGAAAACATATCTGCACGCTATTTAAAAACATATATAAGTAACATAGATGTCATCAAAACACAAATTATTGTGCAGATATGATAGTGAAAATGGTTATAAAAACAACCTTTCAACAAAAGTGGGCCACTGTAAATATCAAGCAGAAATCACAAAATGTCACTAATTGAAAAATGAACACTGTGATACATAATACACTATATTTTGTCTGACTCCTTTATCTGTCATGTCTTCTGTTATACCTCAGCAGCAAATCATATCTATACAGGCAGTGATTTCTTAGCCAATGACTGATGTTACTATAAGCAGCATTATTTATCTCATACAAATAACACTATTTTGAGATATTTCACTCCTGTATTTGAATTATTTAGCAATGACAAACACTATTTATATGGCATCAGTAATGTAATAATTACACTTGTTACTGGACCAGCTACATATTGCTTGGGTCAGAGTGAAATCCTTCTCAGAGAATTTCTGTCTGTCACACAATTGAGATTTAATTTTAGTTTGGAGACAAAAGCTGCACAACTCTAATTTATTTAATTCCTACAGCCATAATCACTGCCAGTTCTAAATAAACACTATTAATAAATCATTAATCTGTAACTAAAGACTAAACTCTTTCTGGAATATTTGCCAAATGCCTATTTCAGAAATCTCGCTGGAACGTCTGTCATTCTCACAATTACAGTGAAGAGAGAAGAGATAGTATTTCAGACAGCTAAATTAAAGCATGAGAGAATCAGCAGCACATTAGTTGAGAAACTGTAATAACTTCTGAGTTATTTACGATAAGAATTCAAAACACCAGATCTCAAAATGCTAAATAAAGAAGGAACAAATTAGTTGCTGGTTCAGGCTGGTAATGAGGACCCGTGGAAGCGTAACAAGAAAAGATCCTTAGAAGCTATCAGGTATAAGAGCTGGAGACAAAAAGTGAAAACAATGAAAATGAGTAGGAAATCTGACGCATTTCTACTTTCCACATCAGCCTCCAGGTTTCAAATGAGGCCTGAAATGTCATTCATGTAATTATTACCATATCAGACTAAAAGCAATTTCAGCTCAGCTGATTTGGTTGTGCATTAATGGCTGTGAAAAGGAGATAAGGAATGTGCATGGTAAAAATAGCTGCCCATCACAATAGCAGCAAATGGGATCGAATTATTGCATAACCTTAAATTCCTTGATAATTCAGGTGGTTTTGATTTTTTGTTTATTAAAGGTTAGTGCCAAATATGAATGTGACAATTAGCTCATTGAAGCCTTTCCTGTAAACCTTCACTTCCCTTATGTGGCTGTTTGAATAGTGTCTGACTGTTTCTCAGAGACGTTACGGAATCTCAGGGCGCTGATGATGGAAGATATGAGTAGTTACATTTCTTGCCTGTCAGTCATGGTTGCAAAGAACAACATGTGGCATACCTCTACGTCACTGGGAAGTGACAGTTGACTTGTAACATGTCAGCAACTACAACTTAATTCCAGTAAAATGAAGAAAACAAGAACTAATGTGTTGGTTACTGCTTCAGCCATAGCCAAGCGTCTAAAATAGCCTTGTTGGAAACCATTGACCTGGCAGAAAATTGGTAAGTGTTGCTGACAGGAGAGAGTCTGGAGCCTCCATGGAACAGCCTTTTTCCTTATATATTTCAACATTTCAGGGAATCTCTCAATTTATTGCTTTTTTCATCTTCTCTCATATACCTCTTCCCTTATCTTTACTATATACTTTACTTTTACTCTGTAAAATATAAGACTTATTTTTTTCCCTGCAAAAATCCTTTTCTCACATTTCCTTTCTAAACTACTGCTTACATTTTTGTTGTGGATGGATTTGCAAAAGCCGCTGCCACTGTCTAATGGCTCCCAATACATGGGCTGTGGTCTCTCACTTTTCCTTTGGAAAGGTTTGACTATGTCCTGTCCCTACTTCAACCTCACTGGGCATAAATAGATATAATTAAAATACTTTGTCAGAATTTCTTTGTAATTATTTATGAATACTTTCTGTTGACATGCTTCCTGAGAGTACATGGATATCGCCAAACAGGAAAAATAGGCAAGAAGGGAAGCAAGTTGAAGATGTATCTCATCCAGCCTGTAAAAAGGAACTGTTAGGAGAAAAATCCAAACAAAAAAGTCCAGTGACCAGTTGCATATGAAGGTCAAAATTACTATAAAAACATTTAGAAAGCCTTTCAGTTAGTAGACACAGGTTTTAAAATGTTGCTGTGCAAAACCAGACCTGTAGAGCTAGCTTGAGTGGTTATCCCCAAGAAAATAGACTATTGTCCTAAAACTCCTTTCCTTTTGTGTTCTCCTCCTACATAGGTAAATAAGTAAGAAGAATTGATATGGAAGATATGGTACCGCTCAGACTAACTCATTTGTGAAGTTCCTCCACAGGAGTTACAAAGACAAATCCTTCCACTATTTCTTAATCAAAGCCAAGCTGTAAGAAACCTGAATGTGGCTTGATAAACTATTAACTAGAAAACCAGGCAGGATATATGATACTAAGCAGCACGATTTTGGGGGCTGGGGGAGAGATGTGCAAAAGAAACTGAAAAGAATTCAGTAGAATGTGATTTTTTTCAACATAGCTCCACAACATTGATGTGCTATTTCTGAAACCTACCCTCCATATTTGTTTATATGTCACTAGTGAAACACCACTAATGGAACACCTGTTTTTAGCTACATATATGTGCAGAAGAAGGAATAATTTCTTTGAATCACTACAATTGCTTTTTAGTTCTGTATGACTGTATACTAACCTTGCCACCCTTGTCCTTGGCACCAGTGACAGTAACTCCCACAATAAAACTGAAATGTTATCAATGTCGTCCTATATTCTGTAATCTGAAGAGTATATAGAATGAATTTCTCTTCATATTTAATTTGTATGAAATAGCAAAGAGGGATTTCTAAAATCTTTCACTCCCTAAACTCGTTTATCAATAAACATATAAAAACTCCTCGACATGAATACTAAACAACTGTTCTCTAGCAGTTCTGTTAGGTCAAGCAGAAACTAAAGAACTGGCTCTGCCACAAAGTGTGTTAGGACATGTTTAAAACATTATACTCTTAGTTTCATGTAGGTTATGTATTCTGCGGGGAAAAAAAAAAAGGTACTAAATTCTCCAATTGTGATGTTTTGGCAGAATCAACTCTAATATACTGATCTACAGTGTTGCAGTGTCACTGTGTAAGTCTGGTAAAATTTTCAACAAAAAATGTTCCTCTTTTTGTGTACAAGAAAACAGCTTTTCATCTTGACAGAGAGTCTTTTAACTTGGATGAATTACTGTCCACAGAAATGGCTGGGCAGGGAATTCATAATTGGCTATTTAGATAATTGGTTACTTTAAATGTGTAGTAAGGACTGACTATGAAAATGAAATCCAGCAAAATAATGAAAACGCAAATTTGGCATTTCACATCTTAATAAACAATGATGTCCAATTACGAAAGAATCTGTACTTACTTGCCGAGTGCAAAACACTCCATCTTAACAGTGGTTCCTCTTGCAGCTGTAACTGTGTAAGGAAAATGGACTTCAATTTTTGGTTCATATTCCCCCATCACACCTGGAAAATAAGGAATGTTTGAAATATGAAATATTATCAGTCCTCCATTTGCTGAGATTATCACAGAAAAAAACCCTGCAGCTTCCTTTTTGAACCTTCCTAGCAGTAAAAGTAGTAACTGATGGAAATAGTCTTGTTTGATCTACCATCCTCTGCTCAGGTCCGATACATATTTTATTAATGCTCTCCAAGGTTACCAGCAACACAAACATGAGCTCAAAAAAAAGGATTTCTTTTCTTAAACATAGGTTAATGTTTACATTAGAATCATTAAAGCAGGCAATCAATTTTAAAAGAGTGATAATTTTCGTATACCAAAGATCTGTTTACCAGTACAGTGACAATTACAACAAACAAATCAACATGTCATGCTGTGTTTGACTAAAGATCTTCTAAGCTAAGCAAGAAAAACTCAAGTGTAAGAGTATTTATATACAAAGATACAAACATAAATATTCAGACACATGTAAAGTTCAGTCATTTAATTTTCCGTGACCCTTTAATTTGGGAGACGATTAATTTTATCAGGACAATATGCTTAGTACTGTAAGATACAACTAGAAAAGCATTCAGGAATGTAAAAAATATAAACTTTGAAATGCAGTTATCTGGAATTTGCTGTGGAGTGACTGGCAGCTTTGGAGATTCACAAGAGTTTAGGAAATGAGAAATGAGCAGGGAAGGAAGCTAAGTTTTATAAGGTGAGGTGAGAGGTTTGTATTTGATGTGACTTGGAGAAAATGTTGTAATCAGTGTGGCAGGAGAATAATACGACTCTAGCAGCTGTGTCCAGTTAGACAGAAGATAGGTTACTGGGGTAAGTGATAATCAGGAGCTAAACGCTATATTAAACAGTGAGACTAGCTGAGATTTTTAGATGGTGAAAACTAAATAAAACCTGACTTATGGACTCAGCACCAACAAGACAAGTCCAAACTAAGTCTATAAAAAACAGTCAAGAGTCTCCAATGAATTGCAGAGCAAGCAAATAGGAATGAGAGGAAAAGAAAGGAGTGAAAAGAGATGTCTTGTGCAAGAAAGAGAAAATAAAGGAGCATAGGGAGGAACATGGAGGTAGGGGAATATAAGATTTTTAACTGAGAGAAGACCACCTGGTAAAGACATAGAAAAACAATCCACAATTTAGCAAAGCAAAAAAAAATATATAAAGCTGAAATGGTAAAACATATACTTCTAGCCCTTCAAATGTTCCTCATGAGACTCAAGAGTTTCCAGCAGGGTAATTCTCTCTTTCTCCAGTTGTCCCACAGGCTCCTGCAATTTGGTTCTGGAAGTTTAAAAATATATGCATTCAAACATATATTTGTGGGCTTATGTTTATTTAGCAAATCTAAATCTGTCTGATATGTGAATCAAAAACAGAAGTAGAAACCATAAAATGCTTTTAATTTAAACAATGTAATTCTATAAATGATTTTGTTTTATAAGTAATGGTAGATTTATTTTCAAAAAATGTAATCATGCAAGTATTACGTGTACTAGCACTATTGACCCCTTTTTCCTCAAAATCATGACTAAATGTTTTGACATTGCTTTACAAAGTTGTGGAGAAAAACTGCCCCTTGTATGAAAAGCAAAATTCTGAAACAATTTTAAAATTTAAAAAATTTTTGGGTTTTTCTTTTGTGGAAAAAGAGATATTAACCTTTGTGCCCTGGATATTAATAAAGTCAGGGCATCACCCAAGTGGAGTCAATTAAAATTTTCCCTATCTTAGACTGAAATCATTTGTCATCTAATCTATCATGAAAAATATATTCCCACTGGTTTGTACTGTATCAATAAATTTCATAATATAATTACATTTCTTGTGATTTCTTTTACTGTTTTCTGGACTTTTTATTTTTTTGTTATTATGAATACCAGTTTTTAATTCATCTCAGTTGAGTCATTAATGGTTTTATGTGTTATATTCCTGTTTAGCTGTGTCTTTTACAGATTGAAAAATCCCAGACCATTAATCCTTCCTTACAGTGAATCTTTAATAAAATTGTGATCATTCCTAGTGCCTGTGTTTGTAGCGGACATATGAGTGAATATTTGCCTTAAACATTTCTTGGTATTTTACAAACCCTCAGCTTGGTCAAACACAAGACCGGGTTCTGATCCTGTGTGGCAAACCGATAAGCGCCAAATGGAATGTGTTAGAGGTAAGTAGGAAACAGATGCCTCAGACAGCCTTGGCCTGAATATGGATGAGATCAGGAGTCCTGTAAAGGCAGGATGGCCTTGTCTTGTAGCATATCTCCCAAGGAGACAGGGCAATCGCATATGTTAATGAGGATTATGGAAAAAAATGAAGGACCTTGATCACCTACCTGGCATATTGCACATCCGCATGTAGAAAAGTGTGTATAAATTGAGGTGGGATAAAGCAAAAGGAAGAAGAAGAAGAAGAAGAAGAAGAAGAAGAAGAAGAAGAAGAAGAAGAAGAAGAAGAAGAAGAAGAAGAAGAAGAAGAAGAAGAAGAAGAAGAAGAAGAAGAAGAAGAAGAAGAAGAAGAAGAAGAAGAAGAAGAAGAAGAAGAAGAAGAAGAAGAAGAAGAAGAAGAAGAAGAAGAAGAAGAAGAAGAAGAAGAAGAAGAAGAAGAAGAAGAAGAAGAAGAAGAAGAAGAAGAAGAAGAGGAAAAGCAGCATGTAGACAGAGATGATGACAACAAGCAAAATTTAAGCTGTAGATCTTTCTATCCCTTTTTTTTTCGTGCTTGGATTTTTTTATTTGCTTGGGTTTTTTTTTTCATTTTTTTCTTATTGTTTTCCTCACAAGTCAGTTATATTTGCCTTTTTGCACTTGAGCTGATTTTCATCAACAATGACATCCTAATTTCTTTCTTTATTGATAATATTTAATGAAGTATGATATTTTTAGGTTTAGGTATTACATACATTTGTACTTGGTGACATTATTTATCACCTGTCCACTCAATATCATGATATTCTTTTGCAGCTGTTCGTAGTTTGCAGCTCTTCCTAGTTGTGAGGTGGATTGTTAACAATAGAATTGAGAGGGTTGTGATTAGTGACAGAGAGTCAACCTGGAGGCCTGTGGCCAGTGGTGGGTCCAGTACTGGGTCCAGTTTTGTTCAATACCTTCATCAATGACCTGGATGAGGGGATAGAGTGTACCCTCAGCAAGTTTGTTGATGATACAAAACTGGGGAAAGTAGCTGATAAACCAGGAGGCTGTGCTGCTATCCAATGAGATCTGGACAAGCTAGAGAGTTGGGTGAAGGTGAATCTCATGAAAAGTAAGGACAAATCTGGAGTCCTGCATTTGGGCAGGAGTAACACCAGGCATCAGTACAGATTAGGGGTAGTACTGTTGGAAAGCAGCCCCATGGAGAAAGACCTTGGAGTCCTAGTGGATTATAAGTTTTCCACAGGACAGCAATGTGCCCTGGTGGTCAAGAGGGCTAACTCTATCCTGGAGTGCATTAAGAAAGGTGTGTCCAGCAGGTCTGGGGAGCTTCTTCCCTCCCTCTACTCTGCTCTGTTGAGACTGCACCTGGAATACTGTGTTCAGTTTTGGGGTCCCCAATTCAAGAGAGACGTGGATCTACTGGAGAGAGTCCAGTGGAGAGCTACGAGGATGATTGAGGGACTTGATCATCTCTGCCATGAAGAGAGACTGAGAGAACTGGGGCTGTTTAATCTTGAAAAGAGAAGGGGATCTTATTAATGTACACAAATATCTGAGGGGTGGGTGACAAGGGGAAGGAGACAATCTCTTCTCAGTGGTGCCCAGCAATAGAACAAGGAATGATGGGTATAAGCAAGAGCATAGGAAGTTCCACCTCGACCTGAGGAGAAACTTCTTCACTGTGGAACAGTCTGCCCAGAGAGGTTGTGGAGTCTCCTCTGAAGACTTTCAAAGCCTGCCTAGGTGCGTTCCTGTGTGGTCTGCCCTGGGTGATGTTGCTTTGACGGGGGGTTTGGACTAAATGATCCATAGAGTTCCCTTCCAACCTTTAACATTCTCTGATTTTCTGAATCTCTGATTAGTTTTAATTTTAACTGTCCTTAAAAAATTTATATCAACAAGCTTTTCTACCTCTGCATTTACTTTCCGGATCATTTATGTGTTGAACGGTGAAGTCCCAGATAAGTAGTCTGTGGCTTCACTAACAGTCTCCCAGTTCTCTAAACTAATCAGATAGTCCTACAATGAGTGGGGTTTTTTTTATCTATTTTTAATTCAGAAGGGAAGTGTCATTCAACCTCTCTGAGAATTTCATTACTTTCACAGCTTTTGATGAGTGGCCCTGTCAAGAGCTATTTGAAATGAAGGTACACAGTGTTACCTTGACCATTTCTATTCGTATTCACGCAGACTCTTCAGGAAAGCTGTATACGGATTGAAGCCTGAGTTCCCTCTTTAAAAGCTGTGTTCATGGTATTTGACGGTATGGTAAGATTGCTGTATAGTAATGTGATAAATACAATCTTACTAATTGTACTTTTCTATATATTTTCCATCAAAACACTTGACACAGAAGTCTGACTTACTTGTCTGTAGTTCCTCAGATATTTCAGATGTTTGAAAAAAAAAGCACTTTTTCTACCTACACTCATCCTAGGCCTCAGGCTTGGCAAAGGAAAATGGTGCATCCTGCTTCCTTCCATACATGAGTTTGGCCTTGGGGATTTGTTGATATTTGTAATGTCAATATTTATTCTAGAATTTATTCTACTGAGCATTCAATTATGAGAACTTCAGTCAGGATGAAGGAAACTCCTTAAGTTCCTTTGTGCTGAAGACTACTGAAAATAGTTTGTTTAGGCTTTATGATGCAGCCTTATACTCCTGAGGCGCTCCTTTTAAATCTCTGGTGTCTGTGCATACTTGTTGAGAGTTTTTGTGATACAATGAATTTTAAATTTTTTTTTGCTTTTGTGTAAAACTGAAAATCATTGTGTTGAATTGTCATATACTGTTAAACATTTGTCTTTTTCAGCCTTGAAAAAATAAAACTTAAAATA